CGTCCCCAGGTCTTCTTGGTTAACGGTTCATTAACCTGTAGAAGGCTGCATTTTTGACGTCATTTCCTCATTAAACACAAAATTCTTCCAAATTTGATCATCAGTAAGTGGTGATGGTGAATTAAACTTGTACTTTTAGCCAGTCAGAATCAGGGAACTATTTGAATGAATAATAAGGTGTTTTTCATTACAATCTTCATTACTTTACGCACAATTATCTTACAGTCAAACTGAATTAAAACCAAAGCTCCATCAGGAGTGCATCACTTGGAGCCTCCATGTCCATTAATTTTTTGAGTCAACCCCTTTCCTGAGTAGATTTACAAATTGAACAACAAAAGAAGTTTAAGGTGTACCAATGACGGTGTGAAAGTGAGGGACATCCCCAGCCTCTGGGAATTGGTGTCTTGATGTGGGATGAAATAAAGGTTGCGGAAGAAATGTTATTACTTTTCACATTACAAGGTGAGGCTGTAATCCAAGAAAAACGAAGAGCAACAGTTAGGTGCCAGGGACCTCCAATACGATACAATACAATACAATGTTCTTTATTTTGAGAGGGTAGATACATGATTAACCCAGTAAAGAGTTTTCTAACACATGGCCCTCCAGGCACTGCAAGCACATAGTCTTGCATTATGAGACCACTTGCAGTTTATAATATGTTGTATAAAAAGAAATCACCAATAAGAGATCATAAAATGTACGTTTTTGTAATATGTTTGGTTCCTTCATTACTGTTGTGATGAAATTCGCATTTTTTTCTTTCATGTCCAGATGAAAGTAGCCTGTGTCTCCTAAAAGGTGGAAGAATATCAGGTTTCACTATGGCCCATGCTGAGTTGCCTGTGTTGCATGATGCTTTCACATCAACCATTGCAAGTGGGTGCCAGAAGACTAGCTACATAGTGCAGTTTCTGTGGAGGGACCTGACGTCTGGGTTTGACCTGACTGGACTTTATATTCCTGTTCCAAAATCTATGGATTCAAATGTCAAGAAAGAATTTTTCATGCTGTGCCTGAAGAAGATCTTGTGTGGATTTCTTAAGGCAACACCCCCCATTGATGAGGAGCCAGCAGATGAGAGAGCTCAGTACTCTGTGGACATGTTGTTTACCAACCCTGAGCATCCTACGGGAAATGCACTGTTTGCAATGCTTTGCCCAAGTCATCAGGTAACTAGCTTCTTTAAACTTCTATTACTACTACTACTACATGTAATTCATTTAAGGAAGGTTAACTCTTTTGAAGTTAACCCATTTCTGCACACACAAGAAACCCAGTGAGTTTTCAGTTGTTTTGAGCTGTTCAAATTCTCTGGCTGATTTCATGACCTTTACCGGTAACAATTGTCTGTCAATGTTGGAATTTTTTTTTAACCACAGTGCAGGCCAGAATTAAGGAAACCAAAATATATGTGTAGTACATGTCTGGAAAAACGAGTCCATGCGTCAGGCTGATGCACCGACGCCTCTGCTCTGAAATGCGTCAGGGTACATTTAGACTCATTAGTATGTATGAGCTATCTCTTTGTTTACTGGTGTAAGCATGTCACCGACAAGCAAGAAGCTGCTGGATTGGCACACGCTAAAATATTTTGCATGCAACACACGACATATAGTACAACCCGATTGCCATTGAAACACATCTTTGAAGTATTTTAGCAAATTAATGTACATACATTTAAACTACAAATACGTTACACTTTAATTACACTGGAGATAAGATTTGTATTTAATTCTTTACTTATCTTACGGCAGTAGTCATTTTGGAAATCGTGAACTCCTTGAAAACAAACACAAGAGATGCCGAAGAAAACATCACTTAGACAAGAATCTTCCCATTTAGCTATTTGAATGTGGAGTAGATGGTCATGAATTTGAGTTTTTCATTAATTTGTAAATTTTCATTTACAACGCCACAATGACAAGCAATGGACATTATTTATATGAGTCTTGGCGGCGCACGCTTGAAGACAAAAATTTTTCCTTTCTTGTTGTTGTCGTGTTTTTAGAGACATCAGTGAAACTTCAAGTGAAGAGGCATCTTTAGAACTTGACAGCCCGGGTTTACAGCACGGCGGGAGATAACTCTTTCACTGGGAAGATAAAAGAGAGAGCTTTTGATTTACAAATTAAGCATCGAGTCTATGATAAAAAGTTCTGACACTAATTTTAGATCCTGAGCGATTTTAGCAAGCTGTGAAACCGTATGTGTTGTCGCTACATCAGCAAGTTTATTTTAAGATCTCGGGCATCATGGGCTGAACATTCTTTAGGGCCGTTTGTTTACATTGCAGCAAAGCTTACAATTACCTTGTGTTTTTGTATCTTGGATTGCACAAGGAAAGAAGAATCCGAAATATGAGAGTGAGCAAACCTTAAACTATACACTTGAAGCAAAAGGGATTTCTGATATTGATTCATTAATTGGTTAGCTAGCTGTATAAATATGTTCTCTGGCTTATTTTAGTGTGAAATATAGACTCTTTTGATCGTACATGTATGCAGATTTATTTCATATCGATTTTTGTCATTGTCGAATGCAGCCAAGCCCTCTGATTTTCAATTATTTGTTATGTACACACGGGAAGCAAAAACCTAAAAAAGTGCTAGCAACCTGTATTCTGTATCATGCAAAGAAGATTTTCATTCATCATCGGGTTAGTAGTAGTATTTCACTGGCTGGCATTAAGTGGGCATTAAGCGTAAACATACAATTGATGTTCTTGTATGTCAATTATTTTCTCTAACACCGATTTTGTTGCTGTTTAATAAACTGCAGGCTCTTATTTTCAAGTCTTTAGAAATGGCTGGTTTTCTTCTGGCATATGAATGTATAATAAGTAGAACCCACGTCACCGAATTTATCTCGATTCATGTCCTTCGTGTGCTTACCGGTAATTAAACAAGGGATTATTGAGCTACCTCAAACCTGAGAATTTGTTTTGTTTATCATAGTGCCACACTAAGCAAAGCTGTTATAGTGCATAACAAAAGAAAAATCTTTCCCTGCCTGATGTGTTCGTCTGACACATGTAGGTGTCAGTGCTGACGCGTCCATGCATGTGAGCTGACTCGTCCATGCATGTGAGCTGACGCGTCCATGCGTCTGCGTTGTGTCTGCATTGTTCACTTAATTCTGGCCTGCACTGTATGCTAATTTAGGATAATTTTTCATAACTGTCCATAGCTGCTAATTAAATTGCATGACTTTCCAGGTCTGTGAAGTATAATTTATTAATAGTAATTATTATTACAAAATTGTTTTGTTCTCTTAGATAGATAGATAGATAGATAGATAGATAGATAGATAGATAGATAAAAACTTTATTTTAGCACGATAAAAATATCAGCATTGCTGGTGGGTCATGCATACTAACAATTACAATTATTGAGACATTTAGGCATAATAATAGTATGGGGCTGTACAGAAATCCTAACTTAGGTGTTCTCAGGGTGGCCACAAGTGGAAGTTTGACTGCAACTTTGACTACCAGAAATTGCATGATATTTAACAAAAATTTCAAGTCATTCACATAAAATATTCACTTAATTATCCTTTTCAAAGTTCTTTATTGTCATTGTCAATCCAGCCTTTATGTCTAACATCTAAAAGGAATAAATCAATTTTGTCAATGTGAAGTGTCCCAGAACTTAGCAGATTCATAACTATATAAGCTTACAACTTATGTACATAAGTTTCAGCAACACACTACTGGCATTTTGTCGGCAAGGCATACGCCTTTAAACGTGGCCTAAGCACTTCATTGCCGTCTACCACTTTACCCTGCACTTTAAGATCCCTCTCTATTTTTGCGTTCATAAACTTGTTAATACAAGTGTTCGCCAGTTTTGATATCAGACCATGAAAAAGACATTCACAATTCTACATCTGTAGCACACTCTGAGTATGCACAAATCTGCTTCAAGGTTTTCATTATTTAACACAACATTCTGACACATCTTCAGAAACTTGGATAGATATTTTTTAAGGTTTGAGTCTGTAGCATACTCGTCAACTTCTCTGTCCACAGATCTTAAGAAAGGAACGAGTTCAGCTCTACGAAATGTTAAATTTCCTTTGTCTAAATTTTTAAGGCTATTTGAAATATATGACTTGTCCTTCAGGATGAGTTCACATATGAGTACAAGATACAGTAAAATTTTTGAAGAAAAGGGGAGAGAGCTTACTGTCATCTTAGAAATTTGAATTTTACCTCTAGTGCCCACTGACGCTCCTCCTTGACTGAGCTGTCCATTGTTGACAAACCAGTGCAAAGGGAAACAAGCGCCAAATGATGTTAGCAAACATTGGAAAGCTTGTTTATTTATTTTATTTTATTTTTTTATACAGGAGCATCTAGTTTAGCATAGCTAATTTATCAGAGTCTTGTGGAAAAAAAATCTACTATCATTAATTACCCCCAGCTAATAAAAATACCACTATACATTGAATTCATAATGGCGGATGGCTCGGGTAAGCCTCAATACGAGTACATGAAAACGAGGCGGGTGAGGATTCGAGCAGAAAAAAATACAGAAGAGCGTGTTGTGTAATTTAAAGCGTGGTTGTACAAAGTACCTTTTTTTACAGTGAATGAAAATAAATCACCACAGAATCGGTATTGCTGTGTGCCACTTTGTAATCAAAAAGGAACCACCGGTCCAAACAGTGAGAAAGTTGGATTTTTTAGCATCCCGACCGATACAAGCTTGAGGGCGCAATGGCTGCAGGCGATTCGAAGAGATACAGGTAAACATTTCGTGATTACAGATTCTACTTAAGTCTGCTCTCTGCATTTTGAGAATGAACACCTTAAGAAGAGTTTAGGCATTGGGCGGTTAAGTTACGTAGACGGAGCAGTTCCATCAGTTTTTTAATGGAAAAGGAGCTCACCTCGGAAGAGACCTCCGCCGACACCAAGAGGTAATTCTGCTTCGATTCAAAATAAAAAGCAGAATAAGAAGAAAGCAGGAAGTGCTCGAACATCGCTCGATATGAGTGCAGTTGCCGGTCCGTCTTCAGAATCCCTTAGTATTGATGCTACTGATTCATTAAACGAGTTTTCCTTAGAAAGTAATTCTGAAGCAGAAAGTAGCGAAACTGTAACAACAGACAATCAGCTGTCCTACGACGATCTTCGAAAAAAGCTAGCTAAAATGGAGCAGTTACTTGAAGAGAGCAGAACGAAAAATGCAAAGTTAGAAGCAGAGGTTGAAAAAGTGAGGACCCATGCTTTCAAAATTTCAGAGAAGTGTGCGAACTTAGAGAAGAGGGTTTTTACAGTAGATAATTTCACCTCTGATGAAGATATTACATTTTATACTGGCTTCCCATCGTATGACCTTTTCATGGCTACGTACAATTACTTAAATCCGGGGCAAAATGGAGAAAACATTCGTTTTTGGCGTTCTGTTTCCAACGATGTTGACCCTGAATATTATGAAAGAGAACCTGAACTTGGCGTTGGACCAGGGAGGCCTAGAACTTTAAATGCTAAAGAGGAGTTCTTCCTGGTAATGTGTAGATTAAGACAGGGATTTCCAGAACGCCATCTGGGGCATTTATTCGATATATCTCAATCCACAGTTAGCCGAATTGTAATTTCCTGGGTAAATTTCATGTATTTAAGGTTTGGGCAGTTGAACATATGGCCATCCCGAAAAGTGGTGAATGATAACATGCCTCAAGACTTCAAAGGCAAGTATCCAAATACTAGGGCTATAATAGATTGCACTGAAATCAAGTGTCAGATGCCAAGTAGTTTACTCCTGAACAGTGAGCTATTTAGCTCTTACAAGAACCACACAACTCTTAAAGGATTGATTGCTATTTCTCCTGCTGGTCATATCTCCTTTATAAGTCAACTCTACACAGGCAGCATATCTGATAGGGAAATAACTGAGAGAAGTGGATTTCTGGACCTCTCTTTTGAAGCTAATGATTCTGTTATGGCTGACAAAGGATTCACTATTCAGGATCTTCTACCAGTTGGTGTGTCCCTTAACATCCCCCCATTTTTAGGCAGTTCAGCTCAGATGCCTGCTGAGGATGTTGTAAAAACACAAGAAATTGCATCTCTCAGAATTCATGTTGAGAGGGCAATCAACAAAATTAAGAATTTTCACATCTGGGATGGTGTAGTCCCTCTCAGTCTATTTGGTATTGTAAACCAGATGTGGACTGTTTGTGCACATCTGTGTAATGTTCAAGATCCTATTATATCATAGAGCAATGCATGAAACTACCCTTAATTACCTGAAAGTAAACTTTTGTTGCATACATGTAATGTTGTGTTAGAACAAAGCAGGGGCGTTGCTATAAAAAAGCATACATTATTGACAATTGAAAGAGAGGTGACCAGTCCACCTTTTAGGGATTATAATCTTGTAGGCCTTGCTTCATTATGCTGGCCCTTGTATTCTGAGACAGCAAAAGTGAGAAAATGCTGGAAATAATATGCCTTGAGTTTCTGACTAATATTATCCCAGAATTCTTGGTCAAATGTTATTCTTTGGATTGACATCCCTTTGACTGTGTAGACAACAAAGTCACACCAAGCAGCACCAGTTATAGCCAATTGGCCTTGTACTTGAGCCGCTTTACGAGCTGTGCTTTTACGTTCAGGCCTTTTCACGAATCACCCCTACATCGTAGCCAAAACAATAGATCAGCTTTTTTCAACTCTGCTGGTTTCCTTCCCTCAAGACTAGCTCCAGGAATATCATTTTCCGTTAGTAGAAGTGGAGCTGTAAACGTGTTTACTTGAGGTGCCGCCATATTGGAATTACAATCCTAGCCTCACCCGCCTCGTTTTCATGTACTCGTACCGAGGCTTACCCGAGCCGTCCGCCATTATGAATTCGGTGTATTGTATTAATAGAAAAGAATTGTATAAAAAAGTAGTGCACTTAAAGTATGTAAGGACACGACATTAGCACAATTGGCTGATATCATTATAGGATAAAGCATGATCCAACAGAACACCAAGATTACGCACAGTGGGCACATGGTTGATGGTCTCCTCTCCCACGTGAATTGATTCAATAGCAGGTATTGGTTGGTGTTTTGAACTTATGACAATAAGCTCAGTTGTATCATCGTTCAATTTTAGCTTAGTTTTAATCATCCAAGTACACATCTTCCAGGGGGTCACACTTGAAGGTAACATAAAGCTGAGTATCATCAGCATAAAAGTGATACTCTACTTTGTGGGCCTTGATGATGTCAGCAACAGGTGTCGTGTTTAGCACATAAAGAATCGTTTTGTGAAGTGGGATTGGAGTTGGTGAGAATGCCTAAATACACTCAACAGATAAGAAGGTACTACTCCATTGATACACTTATACACAAGGATATATTACACATTTATCATGCCTTGTGTCTTTCTTCCTCACATGCTGCATTGTTGATCCTATTTATGGCTTTGTCAATGTGTGGTATTGGAATCCTGTAAAGGGCCAACTCATCAGGTTCCATCCATTGGCCTTGCAACAATCAAGATGAAAATCTACACCAGTTCAGAAACCTAGTTCTGGACCACTCAGGCTAAACATCATATGTTGTACATGTGCAAGTACAATCTCGCCTAATGTATCAAACTTCATTGGCCAGCTGGGAATTAGGAACTGATATTTTTAAAGGGAGGATGATCCCAGCCAAAAGATTCACTCTTTACTTTCATCTACCCAACAATGCCCTTTTGTTAGTCTTGACTGAAGTCCACAGTTCAAACCACTGTCATGGTTCCCAAAATATTTAACTGGCTGGCGTTCACTCTTTGGAGTGGTTGAACTGAACAATACAGGTATTGTGTGCAGTTTTAAATCCTGACTGAGTGGGTCTTTTCAGTGGGTTTTTCTGCTTTGGATGACGTAGAAAATTGTCCAGTTATCAGGGCTCAAAATAAATTTGTGACTGACTTCCAAAGAAATTTGAGCATGGTAAGGTTTCTTTTGTGACCAGTTAAAATAATTAAAATGAAAAGGATAATAACTGGAACATAACAAGCAAAAACATACAGTTTGTACAGTAGAAAAATAATGATGCTTGTCCTCTTGAAATGTAATGGTGCAAACATGTAATTTTTGCTAGTCGCTTGATATAATTGTTCATATACAGGCAACTTTATTGTATCAATTTTGATTTACTATAACACTTAGAAAAACAAGTCATAATTCTGCTGTACATCTAAAATTAATTACGCTAGCCAGGGATGTCAGTAAGCTCTTTTGACATTTTTTGGGGAGGTCCCCCAATGTCCTTAACTATTTGCAGATAGCAGATGGGTTTTAAATAAATTTTGTGGATAAATAGGTAACTGAGAACTAAAATGGCCATCATGGCCAAACATTGTATGTTGACAGGCAAACAATTTGATCTGAAATGAGGGGAAAAGTAACATTTCTCTATTAGAGCAAACTTACCAGCAAAAACATTTTTTATCAGCCCTTGGTGCCTGTGGCTTCCAGTTGTACTTTATTCTTGTCCTGTGGTTACTTCATTTTAGTAATCTATAATTTGTTTTTTTGTGTCGGCACAATGTGGATGAAGTATCTGTTTATCATGCCTTGTGTTCTTCTGGTATGCAACATTACTGATCCTTTTCTTGCCCTTATCTGGTTTTGTTCTTAGTTGGCACAATTTGGACCAGTTATCTGTTTATGATTTCTTGTGTCTTCCCTGCATGCATTTTACATGTCTATATTCTAGCTTTGTCCATTTGCGGTATTGGTTGCCTGGAGGCCAATTAAGGGCCGCCTTGTTGAACTGGTTTCTTACTGGGTTCCATTGGGTCACAACAATCAATAATTTTATAATCTGCATCTGACCAGATATTTGGAATTTAATTGGTGAGCTGGGAAGGGATATTGTTCTTAGAGAGGAGGATCCTGAGCTAAAAACCTGCTCTTGCCTTCATCTGCCCAGCAATACCCTTTTGTCAGTCTTGACTGAAACCCACAGGCTTCCACAGGTTTACGAAAACACAATCTCATGGTTCCCAAATGAAACTGGCTAATGTTGGCTCTTTGGATTGGTTGAACTCAACAATACAGGCCTTGTGTGTAAATAATGTTAAATCCTGACTGAGGGTGATAACCCCAGATGGCATAACCAATCTCAGTGGGANCCTTCATCTGCCCAGCAATACCCTTTTGTCAGTCTTGACTGAAACCCACAGGCTTCCACAGGTTTACGAAAACACAATCTCATGGTTCCCAAATGAAACTGGCTAATGTTGGCTCTTTGGATTGGTTGAACTCAACAATACAGGCCTTGTGTGTAAATAATGTTAAATCCTGACTGAGGGTGATAACCCCAGATGGCATAACCAATCTCAGTGGGATTTGTTTTGGGGTATGCTTTGTGTGGGATTGTCTAGTTATAACAGATAATCACGGTGGTTTCAACTGGAAAATTATTTTTTTTACCCTGGTTTTAGACAGACTATTAATTCTCTACACTATAGAAAACATTGTTTCAAAATATCAGTGTTATTGATCACTTTGTAGACCATACATCAGACAACAGAACAATAGTAACTTGAACAAAATTGATGTGACCTTGATATCCTATACTTGATACACCGCGTATTAAAATCATATTAGTTAAACGCATAAAACTCGGCATGTATTAAGCTGAAAAGATTAAGGCTTATAAAATTATACATATGTACATTTACTTTGACATAGGCAATAATTAACCTTTGCACTGCACATTGATGGTTGACAAGTCTGTAAGGTTTGTGGCAGCAGCGTGTTTGCGAAAAGCCCAATCCTATGCTAACCAAACTCAGCCAGCAAACTGGCAGTGTGTCTGGAGGATGAGGAGCTGATATTGCAACAAATATTTCCAGCGATGCGGGAAATGGGAGGATAAGATAACACAATAAACTGAAAAGGCTTCTAACGAATTGGTTATGTTGTCAACACACTACTTGAGCTTTTTTGGAGTCGAGGTTAGCACCAGCTTCCCATCAAACAGCAATTGAGGCTTGGGCTTATTTAACACCAAGTTAGTGGAAAGCAGTTTGTTCAACTCAATAAACTTTCCAGCCACGATTTGGCTCACAAGTTTCTGGTACCAACCTTGATTGGCTGATGCAAAATAGGCGTCTTGGACAGAGAAGAAAAACCGCCAAGGCTAAGCAGAGCTGTCATGGGGGCAATGGTATCATGTAAACGCGAAACAACCACTCGTATCGGTATGAAATAGGTCTACTGGTAGACTGGAATGGGTAGCGCAACATAAAGTGAACCTTCAAATAACGAGATTTGAAATGACCAAGTCATCATGTAAACATGATACGAAATCAAAAAGTCATCCCGGTTTGAAACTCGTGCTGGTGAGAGTTTTCTCATATAAACGCCCCTAACTTAAATTACATAACTGATAATCTACATGTGACAATCATGTGGTGTCTATCAATAGCAATTACATAAGCAACACAGAGAGTCTTTATGGCCAATAACCTCATGGCTTAACTGAGAGAGGACCAATAACATTGCAACTTAATTGACCAATCAAACCAGCTGTTCCTTTCAATTTGCAACAAAGAAAATTGCACACTCTTCTCCGTGGAGTTGTAAGCACAATTATTATGTGATTCCTCAAATGATACCACACGCATTCATTCATCATTGTCTCCTATCCTCACTGTAAATCCTCTCATTGTAATAGGAGACTCTTCCTTTATATTCTTTGCCCTTGTATTCTTTTTACTTTCTCTTGTATCTTTCTGCTCTTTCAATGTCTCTTCTTGTTCTTATTGTCATTCTTGCTGCAAAAAGGTGGACATGATTATTACTGAACGAATGTGATAGATTTTATCTAGGGCAACAGTAATAAACAAAAAATGGTATACCTTATTCGTACTTAATTTTGCATGTACTTAATTTAGCTATTTTTGCGAGACAGTATTTTGCAAAGCTTAATTTTCCCGATTTTGATGGGGGAAAATGATAAAAGATCATTAAATTTCGCAAAAGCGTTCTCAACATCATCTTATTGAAAAAAAAATTCTGAACTACAACCTAAAACAAACTGGAACAAGTTAAGATTAGGTACATATTGTCCTAGAGTCCGCAATGTTCCTAAACATCCAGGTCATCAACGGGATCTTCCTGTGGAGGTTTCTTTGAGCCACTAACAACATCAGTTACGCCAGCCTTCTTCCATTCTTTTGCAATTGACTGTCTACCTTCAGAGCTAGATAAATGGTTGTACATGC